CATCATCATCATAATATTACCTTTTCAATGAAAAATTAATTCATTGATTTTAAATCGAGAATACAAAATCAATATACAAAATTTTCATAATTCAAATTATATTATATGGAAACAAAAATGCAAAAATAATGTGTAAAACAAAAAAAAAAATTGTGGTGTAGTCTAAAGGTCAATGACAAAAAAGAATTTACTGATTAAACTACTGAAATCTGTTAGATTTCTGACGGGTTTTGTTATAGGCACTAATCAAATAAGGCACGTAATCAAACAGTTCTATTACTGGGCCGACACATTTGAGGCCCATTGTCTTCCAAATCAACGAAATCTCAAAGTTTAGTTAACGTATTTTGGTTGTTCCGAGTTGTTGAGCGAATCCCAGCCTAACTCTACAAGCTTGTTCACTGAGTAATATAAAATTCAACAATTATATACTTCCACGTGTCAATGTAGTAATAAATTATGACGTGTCACCTTATAAGTGGTTCTATACAATAGAGACGCCGCCACAGGAGACCACATTGACAAGTCGCTTGACGATGAAAACAATGTAAACATGTGGATTCAAATAAATCCTCAATATTTCATTTTTTTTATAAATCTACCCTCTATTTACAAAAATGATAAATACCACTAAATTCACTTAATACCTTGTAATATACTTATATAGCTTTAGACAAAACCTGTCAAGGGAAACTCAATCCGTTTACGATTTTGTGGCAATTGACCGTACTTTAAAATTTCATGTAGTAAATTCAAATTTTCAAATAGATTATGTGGGTTTTGGCATAGCTCAATTGATCATATATAGATTGGATGGCGATTTATAGTTCATGGAGGAATATGATGTTTTATAGCGATTACAATAACGTAATTTAGATTATCTGTTTAATCTTGAGTTCTAACAAAAATATTTTCTTTGCATAAACTAAAAATCTATCGGGACAATTGCAAAAATGCCAGTGACACTTTTTAAAAGTATCACTATAGGTTGTTCATTTGTAAAAATACCACTAATTAAATATTTTTAAATCTTAAGGGTATGATGGTTAATTAAATGGAGG